TACCCTCGGCATATTTATCAGGAGAGGCCATATTCTGTGCCATAAAATAAGTCTCAGTACTTTTACAAGTCATACAAAATATGTTCTCTAATGACTGTGAAATTAAATGGGATGCCAGTAACATAGTTAGACAGTCCCTCAGTTATTTGATAACTAAATAACTAATAGGTCAAAGAAGAACTCAAAAGGGAAATGGGAAAGTACTTTGAACTAAACATTTTATTTTGAAACAAAAATAAAACATTTGAAAATTTATAGTTCTAAAATGCCTGGAACAGGAAAGAAAAAGGTCTCAAATCAGTGCCCACAACTTCCACCTTAAGAAACCAGGAAGAGGGGCGCCTGGGTGGCTCAGTCCGTTAAGCATCCGACTTCGGCTCAGGTCATGATCTCACAGTTCATGGGTTTGAGCCCTGCATTGGGCTCTGTGCTGACAAGTAGCTCAGAGCTTGGAGCCTGCTTCAGATTCTGTGTCTCCCTCTCTCTCTGACCTTCCCCTGCTCACGCTATCTCTCTCTCTCAGAAATAAATAAAACATTAAAAAAAAAAAAGAAACCACGAAGAGAGAGGAAATGAATCCCAAATTAAGAAGATTGGAAATAAAAAAAAAGATAAGAGTAGAAATCAGTGAAATAGAAACAGAGAAAATGTAGAGAAAGTGAGAAGATCAATAAAACTGATAAAGCTGCAGCCAGGTTGATCAGCAAAAAAAAAAAAAAAAGGGAAAAGAAAAGAAGAAGAGGACATCAATTACCAGTATTAGGAATGGAAAAATTTGAAAGGCAGAAGTTACTAAAGTCTCTCAGACATTGTAGAAATGTTATAAACACTCTTACAAATAAAATTCTAGGCCAAGAAGACTTAACTGTCAGTTCTATCAAATATTTGAGGAAGAAGCAATACCAGTTCTACATAGACTCTTCCAGAAAATTGAAACTGAAGGAATACTTACTAATTCATTGTGCCCAGCATTACCCTGATTTCAAAACCCGACAGACATTACATGAAAAGAAAACTACAGACCAGTATCCCTCATGAACGTAAATGCAAAAATTCTAAACAAAATTTAGTAAATCAAATATGACAGTATATGAAAAGGGTAATACATCATGATTTGAAAAATCAATGAATGTAATTTACTATATTCAAATACTAAAAAAGAAAAGTCACTATAATACATGCAGAAAAGCAAAATTCAGCATCCATTTTTGATAAAGTCTCTCAGCAAAGTAGGCATGAAAGGGAATTAATTTCTTTATCCTAATAAAGAGCATCTGTAAAAACCCTACAGATAACATCATGCCTAATAGTAGACTGAATGCTTTTCCCTGAGAAGAGAAACAAGGCAAGGATATCCCCTCTCACCACTTCTATTCAGTATTGCTCTGGTGTCTTTTAGAAAATAAAGGACATTGATGTTGGGAGGAAAAAGTGAAACTGTATTAGCAGATAAGATGTCTATATAGAAATTGTGATGGGATCTATTATTAAAAAGCTATTAGAACCAATAAATGAATTTGCAGGATACATGATAAATATACAAAATTTAACTGCATTTCTGTATACATATGAGCCACGAATAATTGGAAGTTGATTAAGAAAAACCAGTACCAATTGTATACAGTCGCATCAGAAATAATGTGTGTGTAGGGATGTGTGAGATCTATTACTATACCTTATAAAATGCTGATGATAAAAATGAAAGAATACCACAACAAATGGAGAGATATATCATGTTCATTGACTAGAAGACAATGTTAAGATGTCAGTTCTCCCCATATTGGTCTGTACATTCAATGCAATCTCATTCAAAATCCTAGCAGCCCCTACCCTCTTCCTGTTTTGGGTAGAAATTGAAAAGCTGATCCGAAATTCATATGGGAATTCAAAGGACTTAGAATAGCCAAAACAACTTTGAAAGAGATCAAAATTGAAAGACTTACTACCCAACTCCAAGACTATTTTAAGGCCATATTAATCAAGATGGTGTGGTATCACCATAAAAAAAATAGATTGACTTGATGAAATAGAGGATCCAGGAATATATCTATACATATATTGTAAATTTACTTTCAACGAAGGTGCAAAGGCGATTTGGTAGAAAAAGGGTAAAAAGGGTAATCTTTTCTACAAATGGTGTTGAACAATTGTATAATCATAGGCAAAAAATGAACTTTAGTCCATACTTGGCACCATATACAAAAAGACATTCAAAGGGATCATAGGTCTAAATGTAAATCTTAAAACTAACCCTTGTAGAAGGAAGCATAGGAGAAAGTCTTTGTGATACACGGCTAGACTATAATTTCTAGGGTGAGATGTCTAAAGCATGATCTGTAAAAGAAAAAGTTGATAAATTGGACTTTGTCAAAATTAAGAAATTTTGTTCTTTGAAAGATACTTGTTTTTAAAAGGGTGAAAAGACAATCTACAGACAGGGTTAAAATATTGGCAAATTATATGCCTGACAGACGACTTGTATTCAGAGATATAAAGGGCTTGCCAAACTCGATAGTAAGTAAGCACACAACCTAATGAAAGGGTAGGCAACAGACTTAGAGACACTTTCACCAAAGAAGATATAAATGGGTGACAGGTAAGTTCATAAAGATGTTTATGTCATTACGTATTGATTAGGGAAATGCAAATTAAGTTTGTTTTTTTTTTTTTTTAAGTTTATTTAGTGTGAGAGAGGGGGAGCGGGAGAGCACATGAACTGGGGAAGGGCAGAGAGAGGATCTGTCAGTTTACAGGCTGACTTGGGGCTTGAACTCACAAACCATGAAATCATGACCTCAGCCGGAATCAAGAGTTGGATGCTTAGCCAGCTGAGCCCCCCAGGTGTCCTGGGAAATGCAAATCAAAGCAGTCAGGAGACACTGCTGTGCACCTGTTAGAGTGGCTGAAACTGAAAAGACTGCCTACACCATATATATATTTTTAAGGTTTATCTAAATGGAGAGAGAGAGCGCGTGTGTGGGAACACAAGCGGGGGAGGGTCAGAGAGAGAGAGAAGAGAGACAGAATCCCAGGCAGGCTCCGCGATGCCAGCACAGAGCTGATCTCATGAACCATGAGATTGTGACCTGAGCTGAAATCAAGAGTCGTTGCTTCACCGACCGGAGCCCCCCAGTCGCCCGTGCCCACACCATATTTTGGTGAAAACAGAGGTTTGTGTTTTGTTCATTACTGTGTCACCAGTGCTTGGGACAGTGCCTTCCAAATGAGGGCGCTGAAGGAACACCAGTTGCCCCTTTTCAAAAGCACTGAATTATAATTTCAAGTAATAGAGTGAGTTTATACTTAGCACAATTTTATCTTTAACTCTTGATTTTATAAATAGGCACCATTTTGAAAATCCATTTTATTAAATTTTGTTTTAAAGTTTATTTAAGCCATCTCTATACCAAATGTGGGACTCAAACTCACGACCTCGAGATCAAGAGCCACATGCTGTACGGGCTGAGCTAGCCAGGTGCTCCTGAAAGTCACTTTTAAATATGAGTGTTTTGCCTGTAAAAGATGTATAAAGGTGTAAGATGTTTGGCCAAATATAATCCCAAAGGCAGACTTAAAGTCTTTTTCTAAATCTATTTTCATTGTCATCTCAGTAGCTTTTTATTGTGACTATAGAAGAGTACAGAACGTGGGGCGCGTGGGGGCTCAGTTGGTTAAGCGTATGACTCTCGCTTTCAGCTCAGGTCAGGATCTCAGGGTTATGAGATTGAGCCCCCGAGTTGGGATCCTCTCTCTACCCCTCTCTCTACCCTTTCCCTTCTCTCTCTCTCTCTCAAAATAGATAAATAAACAAGGGGCGCCTGGGTGGCTTAGTTGGTTAAGCGTCTGACTTTCGCTTAGGTCATGATCTCGCGGTTTGTGGGTTCGAGCCCCGCGTCGGTCTCTGTGCTGACTGCCAGCTCAGAGCCCGGAGCCTGTTTCAGAGTCTGTGTCTCCCTCTCTCTCTGACCCTCCCCTGCTCACGCTGTCTCTCTCTCTCTGTCTCCTAGAAATAAATAAAAATATTAAAAAAAAAACCAAAATAGATAAATAAACAAACTGAAAAAAAAAAGTGCAGAATGTGCCAGAACAGAAAATAGTGATAGGAGCTTGCCTATCTCTGTTACATTTTCTTTCCCACTTAGAATTGCTTACTAAAACTTCTGTGGTGTCATGGCTTTTAAAAATCACAGGAATTAGCTCTGCCAGGGGCCGACTCTGCAACCTTGGCAAGGTAACTGGCCAGCCTCTGCCTCTGGCTTGGTGGGGGCCGCTGTGAGGGGTACGTGAGTTTGTATGATATCAGTAAGCCACTTAGAATAGTGCTTGACACAGAAGGGCTTGGCGGATGCTAATTACTATTTTAGTAATTAGACTTCAATGATACTATGCATGTAAAATGTCTGTTAGACTACCTGGCATTTATTAAGTGCTCAATATAGCTTGTGCCTTTAATTTAAATATTCAGGAGCCAATATATCTAAAGAGACCGTATCTTTGGATTTCTGCATTTGTCATATCTTCAGTGAATTTGTTTAGGACATGAGGAAAAATATTTCTACTTTCCATTTTAGGTTTTCCTAATAGGTACAAGTTACAAAATTACACAAATTTTAAATATGAATTTATTGAGGTGCCTGGGTGGCTCAGTCAGTTGAGCCTCCAGCTTCAGCTCAGGTCGTGGTCTCGGGGTTCGTGGGTTCGAGTCCCGCATCGGGCTCTGTGCTGACAGCTCAGAGCCTGGAGCTGCTTCAGATTCTGTCTCCCTCTCTCTCTCTGCCCCTCCCCCTCTTGCATTTTCTCTCTCTCTCTCAAAAAAGTAAACATTAAAAATCTTTTAAAGTATGAAATTATTTTCTCATTTCTAAGTTCAGGTGATTTGTTAGGCCTTCAAGTTTATTTTTATGAAAAGTATGTGTCTTTGCCTAATATAATTTAACAGAGTAGTTTTTTTTAAAGGCCTAGCTCTAATCTTTCTTCTTTTTTTTGTTCCTTCTTTATAGGTCTGTGGAATCTTGCTTCTCTCTTTTCGAACCTATGTTTATTTGTGCTGATGCCCTTTGCCTTTTTCTTCCTGGAATCAGAAGGATTTGCTGGACTGAAAAAGGTAAAGCGAATCATGTTTTGGAAATAAATCGGTCAAATTAAGAAGTATGTATCATTCATGTTAAACTTGTAAAAGTGGGCTTGAACAGCAATTTGACTAAAATATGAAAAGTTTAATTAGTCATAATAGCAATATCTTATTAGTAATATGAACAATAGAATTAATAATATTGAATGATCCTGTGTGTCCGCAGGGAGAAAGTTGTCTTTGACTTCCGAATTTTTTTTAATGTTTTCTTTCTGAGAGAGAGAGACAGCATGAGCAGGGGAGGGTCAGAGAGAGGGAGACACAGAATTCCAAGCAGGCTCCAGGCCCTGAGCTGTCAGCACAGAGCCCGACGCGGGGCTCAAACCCACGAATCGTGAACTCATGACCTGAGCTGAAGTCAGACGCTTGACCGACTGAGCCCCCCAGGTGCCCCCGAATGTTTGTATAGTACGTGCAAATGTGGTAGAATGCTTGTTTGTAGGGAATAAAGCTGATAAAATTTCTGTTCTCTCTTTCTTAGGCTGTCTCGTGTAGTGTAAAGAATGACACACAATCCTAAAAAATCTTAAAACATATCTTGATGTACAAGTTATTTTACGTCCAGTATTTTCAGGAGAGTTGTGGGTTAGAAAATCCAGCATGCTCCTTTAGATTGTCAGATTCTCAAGGGACTGCGAGTTACTGATCTTGGGGAATGTGAGAGATTAGGAATGAGTAAAACAAGAGACTTTGCATCTTTTTTTTTTAAGTTTATTAATTTATTTTGAGAAAGAGAGAGCAGGGGAGGGGCGGAAAGAGAGGCCCGCGAGAGAATCCTAAGCGGGCTCCGCACTGTCAGCAGAGCCTGACGTGGGGCTTCGACTCCAGACCAGGAGATGGTGACCTGAGCCGAAGGCAAGGTCCGGTGCTGGGCCCTGTTGCGCCTCCCAGGCCCACAGGAGGCTGCTCTTACCCGGCGCTCCAGACCATGTCCGTGCTGATGACTTCGGCAGTCTTTGAAAATAACAAAATAGGGGTGCCTGGGGGGCTCAGTCAGCTAAATGTCTGGCTTCAGCTCAGGTCATGGTCTCACGGTTCGTGGGTTCGAGCCCCGCGTCGGGCTCCGTGCTGCCAGCTCAGAGCCCGGAGCCTGTTTCAGAGTCTGTGTCTCCCTCTCTCTCTGCCCCTCCCCTGCTCACGCTGTCTCTCTCTCTCTGTCAGAAATAAATAAAAAACAAACAAACAAAAAAAAGAAAGATTTTAAAATGGAAGGAATCATATTTCTGTTTACAGCTTGTGGAGTTCTTGGCTATAGAAATAAGGAAAATAACAGAAAGATTTACATAGTTAGTACTTTTTGGCAAAAGTGAGTTCTTATGTTACAGTTGATTTATATGCATTACACCTTTTTTAATGCTTAGTTGGGTTTGTATTATGATACATGAAGTGAAAGTATGCCTGCCTCTCTTGTTGAACAATACTGTAATGCCAGTTGAATTTGGCAAGCAAAGCTGTAAACTGTGAACTTTATTCCTTTTTATTTCACAGAACTTTTTGTAAGCTCGTAGGAATGGAATTATTTAGTCTCACATTTTGACAAGTCTTCTGATTTTAAACCTTAAGTACAGCACTCTGCAGATTTGTGTGTGGAAGGGTGCCAGGGCGGAGTTCGGGAGAGGTGGGGAAGTGTTGTTTCAGTGGATGGACCTTTCCGTCCTCTGGTTATTCCCAATGCTAGTAGTTTGAAGCCGAAAACTCACAGTCGATCGCATGTTTAGTAACGGCACGGAGATCAGAACGGAACGTGAAGTAGCACGCCAAAGAGGGCTGGCGAGCATGGGCCTCAAGAAGAGGGGAAATCATTGGAGACACTGGAGAAGGTAATTTCCATGTCATTTTAGAGCCAGAGCTTTTGATGGCTGTTCATTCATTCAGCAGATTTTACTCAGCACCTACTAAGCAGTAATCACTCTGCCAGTACAGGACCTTGCTGGGAACTGAACGGAAAAGACAGGGCTCCTGCCTTCAAGGGGTAGACAGAGGGAGACAGGGAAGGTGCGAACAAATGGATGCAGCAGGATGACCTCGCACAGCCAGCTGCTGGGGGAGGCACCCCGGGGGTACAGGCCTTGATTCCCCTCGGGGACTGGGGAGGGCTTCGCGGGAGGGGTCCACCTGCCCTTGAGCCAAGTCCCGAAGGGTGAGCGGGCTTTGCTGGGACGCGCTGGTCCAGGCTGGGGCGGAGGCACGCACTGCGGCTGAATTGAGGAATGCGGACACTTAGCTGTAGGATGGAGACTTGGTGGGAAGCCAGGGTGCGTGGGAGCTTGTGGGGGTCACATTCTGGAAGGACTTGCTTCCTCTGCCAGGTACTTTGGATTTTGTGCTGCAGGTGACGGGGTTGGCAGAGGAATTTTGAAAAAGACTTTTGCGTCTACTCTTCTGTTTCAGTGCAGAGACGAATACACATGTCAGAGTTTCAACATACGTCACTCAGAGAAGGAGCGCACGCACCTCGCGGCGTGAAGTGCCGTGTTCTGTGGGGAGGTCACCACACCGAATCGTCACACACCTGGTGCTGCTGGCACAGTGCTTGCGCACCTGCCTCCGACAGTGCCCTGTGGCTCTTTGCTTTACGTACGCAGGTTGTCTCCCCCCGGCTCCGTCCCGTCGCGCGCGTGGCCTTGCCCGTGCAGGAAACCGGGGAGCTTGTGTTCGGTGTTGCCGGTGTGTGTCCCGTACAGCTCCAGTTACCCCCCGTGTAGCTTCTTGTACAAAACCGCGTGTAACGTGGACAAGCCCCTGGTCTCCGGATCATTTTCCTCCCTTGTTGTGAACTAACAACGCGGAGAGACACTTGGCAGAATTGCCAGCTGTGTCTAGAGTTAAGGAAAGCGGACTCACGCCCCAGAGACACGTCACTGTTTCCTTGTTCCGTCGCAAACTGAGGGCAGGGGGAGGAAGGGTGTGGGCAGGTGAGTGGACGCGCACGCCTGCTGCTGGGTGGCGCCCTTCCCCCTGAGGGTTTACGCGCCTCCTGCACACTCACAAGGATAGTCTTCTCTGAGCACATCTTTGACCCTGTCAGTCTCCTCAGGACCCCTCAAGACCAGCAGCCCCATATGTGACCTCAGAGGGGACTGACGCGCTGGGTGCGCGTGGGCTGCGGTCGACATGGCCAGCGCTCTCAGCAGAGGCTGGGAAGGAGGCCGAGGAGGCAGACGGTTGGGTGCCATTCGTCTGACTTGGGTACTTGGACCATGAGTGGGAGTTGTAGGAACCAAATTAAGAACTGGGTCTTTAAAGCTGCTAGAGGAGGGAGGGGACAGGGCGCGCCTGGAGGAGGAAGAGGCAGGGTAATTCTGTTCTCTGTGCTGAGCAGAAGGGGCCTGTGCAAGAAAGACTGCAGGCGAGGGCACCCAGGTGAGCAGATCTGCCCTCAGAGTCTCATGGTCTCAGCTAGTTTTTTCATCTGGGCCTCAGGGTTTCTTTCTGTAAAACGGGTATAGTAATGATCATTACCTGACTGCATTATCTAAGGGATTAAATGAGAGGAGATCGTTCAAGTAAAACACATAGCCCAGGATACGTTAGTTATTATTGCCATTATTCTAGAGCTTACTGCATTTCACTAATAAATGGTCTGGGGGGTCGTCGAAATGCAATGGAATACAGTACAGTCAGCTCCTAATTATTTACATATAACCCTGGGCAGTTTTAAAGCTACAAATTATTTTTCCCATTTTGAAATGGCATGGACGCAAGAAAATCAAACCTGCTTAAAGATGAGGTGCATTCTAGACTCTATTAGAATTGTTTAGAAGGCTTTAAAATTAAGGTAATTGTGATATTTTATATATTCATAATTTTCAGTTTAAAATCGTTACACTTGTGAGGATGAGCACTGGGTGTTATCTGGAAATAGCTTGACAATAAACTATTTGTAAAAAAAAAAAATAATAAATAAATAAATAAAATAAAATCAGTTACATGTGGGGCACCTGGGCGGCTCAGTCAGTTGGGTGTCTAGCTCTTGATTTCGACCCAGGCCATGATGTCGCGGTTCATGAGATTGAGCCTCAGGTGGGACTCCGAGTTGACAGTGCAGAGCGTGCTTTGTATTTTCTCTCTCCCTCCCTCTCTGCCGCTCCCCCCTCAAAATAAGTAAATAAACTTATTAAAAAAATCGATTGCGTGAAAGTTGCAAGGGTTGTTAGCATTGCATAGTTCAGTCTTAAATGCGTGAAGTATGTGTTTAAACCCTTCCTTGTTCCGCCTTTCTGTGATCTGAGATCACAGGAGTTTACTAGTGCTCGTTCTGCATGACGTTTGTGGCGATCCGTCGGTTTTTACACGGCGCTGTGGACTGTGTCCCGGACTTTAACTGCCTCCTCACTGAAGCGAACGCATCCCCGACTGTCATCAGCATGTCTGACACGGCTGGCTGGCAAGCGTGCGCCCGTGTGTGCGTGTCCTCTAAAGCTCTGCGCTCATTGGTCACCCGGACACTTGGAGTTCGGAAGGGGTATCGGACAGGGCTTAGAAGTACTTCTAATTGGTAGAGGCAGCACAGAGATCTGAGTAATGACGGACTGGAAATATGGTTAAGGTAAATTTCTGTTTTATTCCTCTGGCCACCCCCCTGGTGCCGTTTTACTATGTCTAAGTCTGGTGGAGTCCCTGAACGGCATGTGGCCCCACCGTACTCCCACGGATTCCCCTGGGCAATCGATTTTAAAACCGCCCCTCGCATCTCGTGCCGAGACGCGGAAATTGGCCACTGGCCACGGGCGGATGCAGAGCCTGAATTGAAAATCAAATTAAGCAGAATTCTCTACTTAGTTTTTAATTAAACCACTATGTTAATTCAAACAGGACATTTTAGGCCTGGGGGGTTGACCATGTCCTTTTAAGGGGCTTAAGTAAGCCTTTCTTCTCCCTCCTTAGCGTGGTGCATGTTTCTATTTTATTAGGACCATCTCTTCACGATTCCCATTCTTTATATTCTCAAGGGGTAGGAGGATGTAAATGGT